CACACACACACACACACACACACACACACACACACACACACACACACACACACACACACAAACAGCAGCATCTTGGTTGGCAGACGGGCATGGGTGAGGCCCGCCGCCGTGCCAGGGCCCACCGCGAGGAGGTGCGCTGCAAATTGGGCCCCAAAATAATAGCACCGCCCACTAGGTTGGGTGCTCTGATTGCTCTTGACTGTTTCCCTTGCACAATCTCGACCGGCCTTGCGTCGACCACTCGGTGTGAAGGGATGCCACTGCAAGCAGCCAAAGCTGCCGCGGCGTGCCGCAAAGGCACTTGTTTAGAGGGGTCGACGCAAGACCCGTGACAGCACAGCGTGCACGTCGTCATTCCTTGCCGAAACCCCAAGTGGTCGGAAACCAATGGCAGCAAGGGGACCACTGCAAGCAGCCGAAGCCGCCGCGGCGTGCCGAAGCGGCACTGGGTCAGTTTAAGGACCGACCGCAGAGTCCGAACGTCTTGTGCGGGCTGGGCGTAGCTTGGAGACGGGCGCGCTTGGAGGGAGGGCTTTGTGGGGGGTGGCGCCAGGGCACTGGCGAGCAGACAAGCAGCGTTGTCGCACGGTGGAGAGAAGGGTAGGTAGTTGCTTGTAGGCTCGGAAGAGAAGTCTTGATGCTGATGGGAAATAATTGGGAATGATCGATTGTGGCAAGTGTGTGTGCTTTTAAATCCGCGATTTTCGACCGCCCGGCTGACGTCCGTTACTGCGAGCAGGGAACTTGGCCCCGAGTGGGTGCAGCAGCTGCAACCCACACAGCTCTCATCACGCCTTTTGATGTGCATGATTGCTCTGGGGCTGAGCTGGGGAAGCTGGGGTTTGACCTGTGCTGACTGCAGCAGCAGCAGGCGCTGCGCGTTAGGAGTGCACAAGGGGCACGTTGCCGCACACAACTTGCGAGTCTCAGAGGCTTTATACACGCTACTGAAATGCTGGCTTTGATATCTGGCATGCTACAGGGGCTGACACGCATCGCAGGGGTGCTGGTGCTGGTGCTGCTGCTGCTGCTGCTGCTGTTCTGCTGCCGTCAGTGCCAACCGTTGCCGCTGACAACATCACCCCTGCTGGGCATGGTATTAGCCTCACAAGGCCATCATCGCAATAAGAGGCGGATCATGATTACCGAAATGGTCTCATTGAGCGCCTGCCGGCTCGTCACCCCTCACCACCGCCTGCCGGCGTGAGCGCCTCCGGCGCTGGCAGTGCAAACCGCGCCGTCTCTCCTGCCGTCAGCAGCCCCGCCACGCCGCTGTCGTCCGTGGCGCCGCTGGGCAGGAACATGTCGTGTCGCTGCCCACGGTACGCACCCCACACCTCGCTGCGGGCCAGCAGCGCGGCCGCCTGTGCGGAGTAGGCGCCCTCCTCCTCTGACAGCAGCCGCAGGACATCCACCGCCAGTGCACGCTGCACCGCCGCCTCCTGCGCCTCCCCCGCCTGCTGCTGCTGCTGTTGCTGCTGCTGCTGCTGTTGGCTGCCCTGCTCGCTCATAAGCGGGGACCCCACTTCCCGCTGCTGCGATGCGGCCGGTGGCCCGCTCCCGCTCCTCCAGTCCAGCAGCTGCAGCAGCCGCGCCGGAAGCTGCGCCTGCAGCGCCTGTGCAACCAACGTGTCGCGCTGCCGGTTGCCAGGCACGAGTGCACGCTTTATCGTCTCCAGTGCAAGGACGCTCGCGCCGGGCCCCCACGCCATCGCTGCCATCAGCGTCGGCACGCAGGGCGCTGCCGTGGCGGTCGCGAGCGCCTCAGACGCCCCTGCGCTCGACGCCAGCTGGTGCAGCAGGCGCAGCGCGCTGCCGCCGAGCTCGTCAGGGGCCGCGGTTGTCGCCTGCTGCTGCTGCTGCTGCTGCTGCTGGTGCTGCTGCGCGCCTGGCGTGGCGGCCGCCGCTGCCAAAGGGGCGCGGCGTGCGAGGAAGCCAAGGAGCCTGCTGGTGTAGCCCAACTGAGCCAGGTGGTCACACAGCAGCCCGTGGCCCCGCAGCAGCGCCACTGCCGCCGCAGACAGCAGCAGCGCCGACCCCGCCGCTGCCTCCGCCGCGTCGCTTGTGGCGCCGGCGGCACCAGTGACAGCGCGCGCGTCTGCCGCTGTGGAGAGCTCCTGCAAGTAGCGCTCCGCCAACGCCTCCCCGAACTTTACGGGGTCCCGCACTGCAAACCGCGGGCTCTTCAGGAACAGCCGCACGTACACGCCCCCCACAAACAGCTCGCCCCGCAGCCGGCCGTACCGCAGCCGGTAGCCGGGCGGCGGCGCCCACTCGGGCTTGCCGGCCGCATGCTGCGCGCGGGCGGCGGCGGCGAGGGCGGCCGCCTCTGCGGCGGCCTCCGACGCCATCCGGCGGTCCCACAGCGACTCTGGGGTCTCCACGTCCTGGGGTGGTGGTGAGACAGCAGCGCGACACATGTGGCGGTGAGACGTTCGCAGTTGCTGCCGTGCCGTGAAGACCAGCTGATCAAAAGTGTGCCTGTTTGATTTCCAGCGGGAAGCCACCAGGGCGCTTGGCCAGACTCCCATGTAAACAAGGCTAGTGAAGCTCCAGAGTCAACCCAGTGCCCAGCAGCGAATGCCCTAGGCACCAGCCGCCCTGTTCAGTTGCAACCCACCTGCGCCAGCATGCGCAGCACGGCCTCTGGCGGCCCCTCTGCAATCCCCGCCACCAGCCCCGGCGGCAGCAGCTGCTCCAGCACCAGGCGCGTCCGCGTCCCATTAGTCGCGTCCGCCATCACGCGCTGCAGCGCCGCCGCCGCCGCGCCCCGCGCGCCGTCCTCGTCCGCGGGCGTGGCAGGCCCGGCTCCGGCCAGGAAGGGCCAGGGCGCGCCAGGCGGGTGCAGCAGCACGTCCAGCAGCAGCACGGCGCCCCCTTGGTACCCGCAGACCAGCGCCACCGCCGGGTGCGCGCTCAGCGCACGCAGCAGGCCCAGCGCGCCGGCTAGCACGCGCGGCGAGGGTGGCGCGTGCGCGAGCCACAGCAGGGTGCGGACAAACGACTCGTCGATCAGCGCCGCCGTCAGCTGGGCGCTCTGTGTCGCGAAGGCGAGCAGTGACAGCGCGCCAGCCGCGAGCGCCTCGGCGTCCGCCGCCTGGGAGGCCACGTCGTCGCCCGTTGCCGCCGCCATCGCCTCGGCGTCGGATGCCGCGGGTGCTGCCTGCGCGGCGGCCCCGGCTGCACCTGGCGAAAGGGGCTTTGCTGCGCCGCCCAGCAGAGCGGCCGGCGCGAGCGCCGCGACGACGGGGGACAGCGCTGATTTGGAGGTGAGCAGTCCCAGCAGGCGCGGCTCCTGCTGCAGCAGCGCGGCCAGCGCGGTGAGCACGTCGAGCGCCGCGGCGCGCTCCTTGCGCGACACCCAGTGCAGCTCTGTGCCCCGGAAGGCCCTCTCCACCAGCCGCTCGTACAGGAACTTGACCAGGGCCTTAATTGGTTGGAGGAGGAGGATTCAAAATCATGGAGGGGGCAGGGGTTGGGTGATCCAGGGACCATGTGCTCAATTTACTGCTGGGAGCATGCATGGGCTTGGCAAGCGTATGCATTCCGATTTGTTTCACACGATTCGCTCTCATGCTGCTTCGCATCTCCTCCAAAGTTGGTAGGACTCGTGAGCACACATGTGTGGGAAAAGCAGGTGTGGATGCTGGCGTGATGACAATGCACCATGACGTACACCCCATGCAGCGCAGCTCAGCACAACGACCCACCTTGCAGAACCCGGCCGGGTCTGCTGGAACCGCCGCCGCCGCCGCCCCGCCGCCGCCCGCCGAAGCCGCCCCCCCCGTCGCCGCGCCGCCGCCCGCCGGCGCCCCAGCGGCTGGCGAGGCGGCGCCCAGCCGTGCGCGCTGGTTGAACACGCGCACGAACACGCCCCCGACCTGCAGCTCCCCGGCCAGCCCTGAGAATTTGAAGCCCTGCAGCGCCGCTGCGTCTGCGCCGCGCTCGCGCTGCTGCTGGAGAGCCTGCAGAGGAGCGACAGTAGGATGGTGGTGGTTGGTGCTTGGGATGAGGAGCTTAAGTTGAGGGATGTGTGGCAGTGGGTGAAGGGACAGGAGAGTATTATGATGCCTCGGGCGTTTGGGCCAAGCTGCAGTCAACGGTCAACATTGACGCTTACGCATGCATGTATGCTCGCCTGAACGCATGCTCGCATGCACCGTGCGCAAGCAATACCCGCATGCTCGAACAAACTGCATGCTGCACGCATGCACGCATGCACGCATGCACGCATGCACGCATGCACGCATGCACGCATGCACGCATGCATGCAGGTACACATGCACTTCATGCATGCACAAGCACGGTTCCCCCCAACACGCCAGCACCTTAAGCAATTCTTCTCTCATCGAGTTGTTCCAGATCACGTGGGCCGTCTCAACACTGGACGACCCCAGGATGGCCAGCAGCGGCTGTGGCTCGGGCGCCGCCAGCCGCGCCGCCAGCGACTCGGTGAGCAGCGCGCGCAGCGCAAGCAGCGCGGGGGAGCAGGTGGGCGTGCGGTGCGGCTCCGGCAGCATGCCTGCGGGGGTGCGGGCAGGTGAGGCTGTGAACGGCCAACTGGGCAGCAGAGCAACCTTGTCACCGCAGGCGATTGAGAAAGCACTTCAAGGGTAGATCTGCCAGAGGATGCCACACCAACTCGATCGCGCATGCTGGCAGCACTGGCCGAGCATATGCAATGCGGCGGCGCCACCTCCCCTGTCAGATGCCCGCAGCACGCCCGCACCTGCCAGCCGCGCCAGGGCACGCGCCGCGAGCAGGGCCTGCTGGCTGCGCGCCTCCTGCAGGTTGGCGCGCATCAGCGGCGTCGCCAGCGCCGCGCGGACCTGCAGTGAGGGTTGGGAGTACAGAGGCACTAATCAGCTGGCAGGTCTGTTAGCCAATGGCATGTGAGAGCGGCAAGTTGAGGATTTCATGCTGCTGCCATGGCGCACTTGTTCAAATGAATGGTCACAGCTGGAGCTGGCTTTAACGGACGCTCGACGACCGCAGTCAGGTGAGCGTGCACGCAGCGCTCCCGCCCGCCGCCGCCCGCTCGCCTGCTCCGGCCCCGCGCCAGGCCCAAACGGCAGCACCAGGCGCGCCGCCGCCTCTGGCGCGAGCGTCGAGTCGTAGCCCAGCAGCAGCGGCACCACGTAGCCCAGCGCGCCGGCCTCAAGCAGCGCCAGCTGCGCGGCGCGGCGCGGGCGCCCATGTTGCGGGGGTGCATCAAGAGCTGGTGGCCGCGGCAGCACTGCCTTCGAAGAGTACGCAGCTTTTCAGGTCCGCGTCCAGCATGGCAGCAAGCAGGCGTCCCCACCGCCCAGCCAGGCTTGCTCGCACCACCGCGCGGCCCTTGTCACCTGCAGCGCCGGCGACGCCGCCAGCTGCGCCACCAGCACCAGCGCCCCCTCCACCGCGCCGTGCGCGCGCTCCAGCGCGCAGCACCGCACCGCATCCGCGAGCACCTGCCGGTACCCCGGCCCCGCCAGCTCCCTCCGCGCCGCCTCGACGGCCGCGAGCCCGGCCAGCGTGCGCAGCGCGTGCGTCGCTATCTCCGCCTCGGCGCTCGTCGGCGCCGCGTCGGGCGGCATGACGCCGACGCAGCGCGACAGGAGGCCCGCGAGGACGGCGGCGCCGCCGCAGCGCAGCAGCTCCTCGGCGTTGAGGGCTGAGGCCACGCAGGTCAGCCAGCACAGCTCGACCGCGGCCCGCACCAGCCCCGTGCTCTCGCCCTTGAGGAAGTGGCGCTCGTGCTGCTGCTGCTGCTGCTGCTGCTGCTGCTGCTGCTGCTGCTGCTGCTGCTGCTGCTGCCCGCCATCCGCGTGTTCCTCCGCATCCGGCCGCGCCCCGCTCGCAGCCGCCGCCGCGCCCGCGCCCGCGGCGGCGCCACCGCCGTCCGGCCCCTCGCCCGCGCCCTGCTGCCGCAGGACCTCCAGCAGCAAGGGGTACCCCGCGTACTTGAAGGGCCCGAGGACCTCCGGGTAGCGCGCGTACAGGATGCACTGCGCCCGCAGCATCAGCTGCACCCGCCACGGCTGCGGGCCCTGGCCGCCGGCGGCGCCGGCCTGCAGGCGCTCGTAGGCCTTTTGGACGGCCAGGAACTTGGCACGGGCCTCGGGACTGGGGTTCTTGTCGGGGTGGTACCTGGCGCATGCGACATTTGGGTGTTTCAGGGTTTTGAGGGTGGGGTCGCAATCGAGGGGGATGGGTTGGCAGGGGGTTTGGACCGCCAGGCTGGAAGGGACGCGGTTGACGCGAGGTTCAGCGACTGATGGCTCATTAGGCGTCAGGGCTTTGCAAGAGGGCGGGAGCTTGCGTGGCATCCATGCAAGGGCAGAAACCACATCTCAACATGAATCGTCCACCAGCCCAGCAGGCCGGCCAGCCGGCCACAAGCACACCACGAGTCTTTCCCCTGACATCACACTACGCCGATTCAGGAGCAGCGCGCCCACCTGCGCGCCAGTGAGCGGTAGGCCCGGCGCATCTCTTCCTCCGACACGACGCCGTCCGGCCCCGCGGCCGCGGCGCTGATGCCCAGGGTGGCGCAGGCCTCGGCCTCGGACATGGCCAGGGGCTTGCGCGCCAGCTCAGCGC